CTGGGTTGTTTGTCTTCCCCCCCACTTCCAGACTTTCCCATACTTTCTGGGGAATCGACGATTAATTGTGTCTGTGTGTTTTTTCCTCTCCTGAGTCTTGGGTTGGCCCCGACCCCCCCCATCCCCCCTCCCTGGCGCGCGGAGCGCGCCAGGGGCCCAGGCGCCGACCCGCGAAGTCCTCGCGGACCGGCGAGGGTTCATGTTCTTGCCGCTGTCTTGTGCTTCGAGCAGCGCGCGAGGCGCCCGCGGCGGGCGCTGCCAGGCGGGGGCGCAACGGGGAGCTGCAGGGAGCCATGAGCATCGCTTAACCGATCCCTATCCCCAGATGCGTGGCCTGGGCCCCACTGGCCGATTTACCCCTCTGGATGGGGTTATAGGCCGTTCCCTGTGGGCTTCGAAAGGATATCCAAAACTGGGGTGATGATGGGGATGGGGACGGGGATGGGGATGGGGATGGGGATCGGTTAAACGCCACTGAAGCCAAGCGACGCCTGCCCGCCGATGGACACGATGCAGTCGCCGGGGGCGAGGTCCGGCTGGCCAGGCTCCTCGTCAACCTGTGGGCGGGGCCTCCTCCACCGCGCCCTCATACTCCTGATGCTGCTGCTACAGCTGCTCCTCCTACTCCTCCTCCTCCTCCTCCTCCTCCTCCCTCCTTCCTCTCCTCCTCCTCCTCCTCCTCCTCCTCCTCCTCGTCCTCCTCCTGCTCCACCTCCTCCTCCTCCTCCTCCTCCACCTCCTCCTCCTCCTTCTTCTCCATCCCTCTTCCTGATAAATAACTCCTCCCTGTCGCACCCCGAAACGGGTCGGTAGGGCGGGCCGGGCGTTTCGACTGAGACGTCCTCACTATTCATGATCCTGAAGCATAAATCTCGCAAAAGTCTTACGGATGAAGGGCGGGTCGTCTCCAAAATTTGACTCTCACCGTACGTAGCGCCGCGCATACTCGATTTAAAAAATTGCAGGAGTTTCACGCATGGAGGGCGGGCCGTTTTCAAAATGTGGCTCTCGATTTAGCGCCGCGCAAATTCGTCTTGAAAGTTTGCAAGAGTTTCACGGGTAGGCGGTGCGTCGTTGTCTAAATGTGGCTCTCGCCATAGCGCCGTGCACATTCGTCGTATCAGTGCACAGCAAGTTCAAGGATTATGATGGCTGGCGTCCCAGAAATTGTTCTGGTATGATGTATGGTTGTCACGGCGCGACAGTCACGTTGATTTGCGGTGTTGAAGTCTCAGGCATAGTTTTTTGACGCGACTCTGGATCGTCACGACGTAAGTAACAGTAACGTTGATTCGCGGCGTTGAGGTTCCAGGAAAGGTACTTCGGCATGGTTGGAGATTTTCAAACGGTTATCTTCCAACGGGGCACTCCCCGCAGTAAAACCGAGTCCTTGTAGGAACCTGTGAAGAGGAACTTGGAGGGAAGGTTCATTGCAACATCGCTGATGAATCTTAGGAATGCACTGGTCCTCCTCCTCCTCCTCCTCCTCCTCCTCTTCCTCCTCCTGCTCCTCCTGCTCCTTCCAGACGCAGCCATACGGTATGGTCCAGTCAACACCGCCTACCGTTAGGTGGGGCGTGTCCCCCTACAGGCGGATTTTGGACGGACAATAAAAGAAGCCCTACATGGGGCTAGGCCTCCTCCTCCTCCTGTTCCTTGTCCTGTTCCTCCACCTTCGTCCCTTCCCTACCTATTCCTCCACCACCACATCGTACTCCTCGTCCTCCTGCTCTTCCTCCAAATCCTACACCAGTTCGGGCAAGACCAGGCGGACGAAAACGTTTCGCCATTCGGGGCTGGGGGGCGTCTTCGGAGTGGGGGGCACCCACGGCCAAACTGAGACATCTGGGGGCCACGGAATGAAAAAGTGATCCGTGGGAGGTCTGAATCCTCCTCCTCTTCCTCCTCCAAATCATCATCATCAGCAGCATCATCATCATCA